GCCAATATAATGGATAGCTCATGTCACAGCCTTGAGAAATGGGCTATAACAAGTGCCATGATTAGTTACAAGGCCCTCGTATACTGACTCTGATGTCAGTTTTCCAATAGAAGGGGTCCTGCTGTTTAAGAAAGCAGGTCAGTACATTAGCCAGAACTTCACTGACAATATGTTATGATGCAGAGGGAACGTGAGAGCAATTATCAGCCTATAATCCTCCCAGTAGTGCTCACCTTTATATCTCTGTTGAGCAATCCAGAGAAATGTCATTTTATTCTGAGCTTCACTGTTCCTCCCATTCATATTAAAGAGACAGCAGTGGTGAGATAGGGGCAGGTCTAGGTTGTCCTAACAAGAGGACGTTTATTAGTGCATGAAAGCTCCCTAACATTAAATAGCAACACAAAAGAGAGGTTGAGTGTTACAAGGATATATGAAAAAATTCCTCAAAGAAATCCACAAGGCCAGTAAATCAAATGTACAGTATGTATGGGTTGTTATTCATGTAGACCATAATTAAAACATGGTGTTCTGTACTGTATGTGAGCATGTCAGGTGTCACACAATGGAATGCTGTGAGGTGCTTTCTGAACTCCTACCAGCAACTGTCCTTAGGCTCTTACAGAAAAGGACCATTGTATGCTGTCCTAGAAATTCAACTTAAGACAAATAAGACAAAACCAGCCCTTGGTACTGTAGGTATCATTCAGCCATTCCCCGACAAAGATCCACAGAAACCATTACAATTAATAAAAAGCACAGAGAAATAAAATTAAGGTAACAGTGATTACAACACTTAACACAGGCTATTGTACTGTAATAGAAAGACCTTGGTGTTCTGCAGCTCAGATTATAATGCTGCTGGTAATAAGTCGTAGCTAATGATGTATTTGTAAACCATGTTCTTTCTCTAAAACTGAGCTACAAATTGCTTTAGATTTTGTAGCCTCCTGTTGATGCCTTTACTGATTTTTGCTACAATCTGCACCTTAATTATTTTAATTAATTCCTCCCAGGATCAAGATGTCATTTATCATAGGACAGAGCTGTTCTCAAATGGAAGAGCCACTGTTCAAGTAGGGTGGCAGGGTGGCAAGCTGAGGTCTAGCATGGATGAAACTGAAGAATTTGACTGAAGATTTCTTTATTTGCCATATACAACAAGTGTATTGAAATGCTTACACGTTCTGCTATATCCAGTAACGTTGGAGAAAGAGAAAAGAAAAAAAAAGAAAGTCATGTGGTTTTTAGCAACCTTATTGACTATTTCCCTGAAGAACAGGAAGAAACATATGCTGTTGTAAAGTAAGGAATAATTAAAATTCTCTTACATATATTCTGCATGTGTGCAGCATGGTGGTGCAGTAGTGAGCATTGCTGCCTCACAGCACTGGGGCTCTGGGATTAATTCCTGGGGTTCTGTCTGCTTGGAGTTTGTATTTTCTCCCTGTGTTTTCCTCCATGTGCTTTGGTTTCCTCCCATAGTCCAAAGATACTGGTGTTTGTGTCTCTGTGTGTCCTGTGATGGACTGGCACCCTGTCCAGAGTGCATCTTTGCCTTGTGCCAGTTGCTTGCTGGAATAGGCTCTGGTTTCCCCACAATTCTCTATTGGATAAAGTGGTTAGAAAATAGATGGATGGACTTTTCAAGTAGCCCTAGAGTAGGCCTGTCTCATTAGAATAATGTCTACCCTTGGTGTTTTAGGCATCACACTCCTGGAAGTCAGACAATTAAATTGAGAAATGGCTTTGCAGCCTAGGGTAGTGACATAGTTCAGTCCAGGTCATTTCAGAAAAGAGACAAGCGACATGCACCCACTTTCATAAAACATTTCCCTCAATGTTAACATGTCTGTGTGTTTTTGTTAGAAAAAAAGAGTTGCACTATGCATATGATCAGTCCCAAAGGTTCTTTTAACCTTTTTTTTATTTTTAGCTTTGTAACACAGTGAGATTTCTTTTTGTCCCTCTTAGAAAACACAAAGAGACACAAAAGACCAGTTTTAATTAATCTCCAATTTGCAAGTACATGTGGCTCATGTCTCCAAAACACTGTAATACAAAACACTTTAATTATTGCGCAGTGAAAATAAAATCACCATGAAGGTAATTAAATCAGATTGAAGCAAACCTGGCTCAGCATAGACTTCAATACAAGTTCTCCCAGGAATAAACACTTTTCTTTGTCATTTCTTGCGATTTATAGTTCAGGCACTTGAAAAGCAAACTTGTCCTTCAAGGCAATTTGAATTCCCAAAGAGTAATGAACAGTTTGTACAAATAAAACACATTTTCACAAGTGCCAAAGAGCCTTCTGCTTGCTTCCACACCTTCTATGAGAATAGATGAACCTAGACTAATGCTTTGAAGATCTTTCTGTTTTGTTGCATTAATCATCTAATTTTTAAAACATGTCCTGATTTTGTTCAATGTTGATTTCCATTTAGGTTTGTTGCATATACCACATTTGCTTTTATTTAATGTTTATGCAAAATAGTGACTATTAGTAGACAATTCACTGTCTTCTCTGATAAATTTATACTCCTTTTATTTTTTTCTTCCTGGGGATTAAAGTAACAGATTAAAATTATACACTAAATTACCCTTTAAATCATTTTCAATTTTCTTTTGATATTCTGTACTGTATAACCCTGCCTGTATAGTCTGATTTAATAACTGTGAAAGCACTCTGTGGCAATTGTTTTAAAGGGCGCTATACAAAAGATGAAATTGAATTGAAACAATGGAATTGAATAGAGCATGTGACAAAGCAGGCAGGCTGTGTTCTGACTTGATATGTGTCTGTATATCTTTGTGGGTACAGAAATGGAATAATATAAGACACAGAATAAGTTAGAATCTATTGTTTGTTTGTATATCCATGTTAATCTGTCTTTTATTGGTGTTCTCAATTTCATAATATTCATGTGCCTGTTGGCTGGTGCATACTGTGTCATGGACCACTAAGAAAGCACTTCCAACTGTCAGCACTAGAGTAATACCCATTGATTGAATTATTCATGTAGCACCCATGCATAAAAGGGTGAAAAACATTGTAAAGTAATTATAGACCAACAACTCTTACTCCTTTATGGGTTATGAAAAGGCTAATTAAAAATAAACTTGAGAATGTACTAGGGCAAGACAACAGGAGTCTATTTCTAGGCTAGTTAAAGTGAGTTTTATTTAACTAACTTCCTAGAATTCTTTCACCAAGCAATAGCTGTAATTGATAAAGAGAATGTTATATGATTTTCAAAAGCCATTTGTTATAATTAATCATATATTATAAAATATTATGTCTCAAATTGCAAGTAGTAGATTACTAAACAGGGGTGAATTCTCAGATTAGGGTGATGCCTTTTGTCATTGGTGGAGTACCACATGGATATGTACTGTATTAAGACCACCTCCTTTCCAAATTGCAAAACAGGTATGAAGCATAAAAATAAGGTTGACTTTTATAATCAAGCATGATAGACCTGCAAAGCACAAAGTCAACTAAAAATTGTGTACAAATCAATGGAAAATATTGTGCTTTTGTGGTTTAATTATAATCTATTAACTAACAGCTGTGGCTTCTGGTGTTTCATACTACAGTATATACCACTGATTTTTGCACTTTTTGTCTGGTGCACCTGCAGGCTGCTGAAGAGGGCTTGCACAAGCCAAAGAATACAGATTTAAGGATGATGGTAATTGTAATGGGAGGCACTTCCTCTATCAAGTCATGTCAAAAGAGATTTTGCTTAGGGTTCCTTCCGGAAATTGTCAGATGTGATTCTGGAAGCCACACTAATTAATGAGAAGGGGGCAAAGGTACTCCTCCTGTAGTATAACATCCCATAGCTTCTGTAGTCTTGACATCAAGCAGTTTTGGAAAACCAGTCAATGCATGCAACACTGTTGTGTGTTCAATTTGCAGTTTTTGTATCAAAATGTCTCCCTTCCCTTCCTCTGCCTTCCTGTATAGAAGTATTTATCAAAGGATTGAACTGCCATGAGTCAATATTCATTATCTCTGATTGATGATGTGTAAATGTATTAATTATGAGCTAAAGAAAGGATGGCAAGTTAATGCCTATTCACTTCTTTAAATGTATAGGAGCTACAATTTAGGGCAGAGATGCAGCTCTTGTACCCTCAAGGATAATGACTGCCCTGTGCCAGAGTCACTCACTTGTTTGCTGATGGCGTAAATCACTGACACTTGAGACTTGCTCTTTCGAATGTCTTTTTCTGAGCCACATGTGGCCAGGCTTTCTCGGGATCAAACCACCTCCACTTCATTGACAAAAGTGCACTTAGTCATAAAGCTTTATAACACAGTGTTAGTGTTCATTTTCCTGTTATTAGCCAGTGGTTAGTAGTGGTAATGAGTTGCATTCTGTTTTCGTCACTTCCATGACGGTACAATTATCCTACAGGATTGTGATTCATTGACAGGGACTTATCGGTGTCTTAGACAAACAGCAACCGATGAAACTACAGGCTCGCAGTGATGCCAGTGATATGCTTCTCCTTCATTCGGTACTGCAGCTCCTAAATGCCACTGCAAAGATTAACATGTAGCATGTCAAAAAGATGAATGGCTCAATAAGACGTCAGCTCTTAGGAACCAGACTGCGCGTCCTTTTTCCCCTGATGTGTGGACGGGTGTCATCACTGAGAGCTTCCACATACAGAAACACAGCAGAAAAACAAGTAGGTACAGTACAGACGAGAGAGGAGAAAAAGACAGGAAGACACAGGATGAGACAGAAGGGCAGGAGGCGAGAGCTCCTGAGCTCCTTGTCCTGATCGTCCAGGTTCGAGGATCAAGTTAGGCATGAAGAAAGCTTGCTATTCTGTTATTTTTAGGAACTTTAAATTCTTGTATAGAGAATCCCTCGGTTGATACTAAAGGTGATTCTAAATCGGTTGAGGGCATTAAAAAAATTGCCAATTCATAATTCAAAAAAGCCGACTAATCTGTTTCTTTCTGTTTCTGTGTGCTACAGGAGGTCATCCTTGCAGGCCAGTAGCTGCAGTGCCATGGCACTGATGGTGCTGGCGGCATTGAATGAGAGCCAGGTGGGCTTCCTGGGAAATGGGACTTCAGGATGGGGAGGCAGTGGGTCCAACAGCACGGAACCAGAGCGCCGTCACCCTTACAATTTCTACGCCATGCTGCTGACACTGCTGATCTTCGTGATTGTCTTTGGCAATGTACTTGTGTGCATGGCTGTGTCCCGGGAAAAGGCCCTGCAGACCACCACCAACTACTTGATTGTCAGCCTTGCTGTGGCAGACCTGCTGGTGGCCACACTGGTAATGCCTTGGGTAGTGTACTTGGAGGTGAGTAAGATACACAACTAGTATTTGACAACTTCATACACTGTATACTCATGCAACAAAATAGATCCTGGGACCTACTGTCTTGAGTTTACAAGTCTTGATTGTCTTCCACCACGTCTTGGATTGGAGCCAACCTACAGTACAGTGCTGATAAAAAGTGTGTAAAATCCCAATATCATTATTGGGCTTACACTTGTGTTCCATTATATCCTTGTTAATCTGAAACCCATCTTTTCATAAATATTCCAAATTGTAATGTTTGCAATAGCGTATGCAGTAGAAAAAAATATGAATAAATTAACAATCAAGTGAACCCCTAGTTTACTTAGCACAATTAGGGGGGTATTTAAAATCAGATGCTTTAATAAGTGGTTAACAAATAAACAAGGACTGTTTTTTGGCAGCCCTGTCCAGTATAACATTCTGAAACTTTGTGAGCTTTTCACCATACAAGTTAGTGGAACCATGACATGACATGAACAAAATTGATCTCAGATGACCTCGGAAAAAAGTAGTTGATGCTTATCAGGGTGGAGGGAGGTTACTTGGTGTTTCTGAACATTTTCAGAAGGAAGTAAGTGTGTGCAGAATGAGTACCTACTTACTGAAAGCCATTAATTCCATGATGGATATGGTCCAGGAGATTATCCTTGAGCGTTCATCTGTCCCAGGTATAGGTAGACATTAGACAAATACTGTATGTATGGTAACATTTCAACCAACATATCTGAACCTAAATTAAGCTAAACCTAAATAAAGAATAAAGCAGGCACATTCTTCAACTTAACGACTAGAAAATATTACTGAGCAGATAAAGGCATTCTAGTGAGTTTAAAATTATGTTGAAGATCAGTTCAATCAGACTGCATCCTTTAATGTACTTCCACCAACTGACAGAGATTCAATTAGGTTTGCTTTGATATAAAAATGGAAAGATAGAAAAATTATATTTTTTTATAATCATCTCTCTTTTAGGGAGTAAGAAAGATGTGGGGGGTCTCAGTCTCTTCCTTCGTTCCCTCAATATCCTTACGTTGGAGACAGGGGGTCTGTGAAGTTACAGGGGCCACCTGCTGTGTGCAGAGTTAAGTGCTGGTGAGACAGATAAAACATTTTGGGCATCACTTGACAGAACTATCAGAGCATCTGTAGGAAGCCAAAAGAAACCAATAGGTCCTACGACTCAGAATTCCTTCAGTGCTCTTTATATTAAATGTTTACAAGGGGATATCAAGGTACAGCTCATTTAAATATAAAAAGGCATAATGCAGCCAGTGAAAGCATGATGGACACTACAGAGAAGCAAAGCAGAGGCACAGTAGAAGAATGAGTAAACTATAAAAATATAAAAATATAATGCTGTTATCAAAGGATTTTTTATTAATAGATTCATTTTTTCAAACGTATTCAGTCAAAGTACTGGACACGGATAAGATGGTAAAATGACAATAATAAAAATGGTAACAATCTGGAATAAAGCATGAAATATAATAAAAACATTAAATCTAAAGGCCGTGTCGAATTAATAATAAAAATATATATGTGCAATAAAAAATCGACCATGTACCATGGCACATTTACATAAAGTATAATGAGTAAATTCACACAGTGGTTGAAAAATGGAGACTCGTGATGAGGGAAAGCTTGTTCCAAAACATCACCATCCTTGAAGATGTTGGTCATGTTTAAAACAAAATAACAAAATAAAGCTGGTACTGAATGGGTTTGATCAGAACACCACAATATCAGATCCAGGCTTCAACGTGATTTCAATGACAAAGCTAAATGAATAATTCAGTTCAAGGAGAAAGCAAATCCTCTGACTTTTAAAGGCCCTGAAGGTACCACACATACAACTTACTGATCTACTGTCTGAGGAATGAAAGGAAGGCCTTCATCCCTTCCCCTTCTCTCTCTGTAGTACTTCAGTACTCTCCAAGTTTCATCGAAACACTGCATTGATATAGCAAAGCTTAAATCATCAATGAACATTCATACCTCTATCATACCAGCAGAAGTATCCAAAAGACCCTCCCAACAAACAGCATTGTCATAGCAACAAATGCAACACAATTGTACAAAACCTCACTGAGGAATCCAAGGTGGCTGGAGAGATGTAGATTTTGCACTTTTACTATGAACAATACCTAATCTTTTCTTTCAAAGAATAATACTATGTTCAGGCAATGAGGTTAGCAGAAACTAGGGTATTTGTTCGCTGTACATTATGTGTATGGTCACCTCTAAATCCACCGTTCGGATGAAAGAATGTCAAAATGATGATACTTATCGAACGAGGCTCTCCTAGGGTTTTCTGTTATTGTGCGGAGGTATATAATTATACCTGGACCACTGTCACTAAGCTGCATTAGAGGAAAGTCATTGTCGGATCTCAAGTCTTCTACAGTGTCTTCCTTCTTTTTCATTTCACTTCTTTTTTCGTGTAGTGGCTTTCGTGTGAATGTATGCCTCATTAGGAACTGTTATGAATAATCATGTACAAGGGAATGTAATGGAATTAGGGTTTCAGTCTGCATCCAGGAGCCGGCCTGGGCTGAGGGAGAGTGACAGTGAAAGTGAAAACTCCAGAAGGACTTCTGATTAGCCATGAATTCGGATGGTTTACAGGCCTGTGGGACTCATTAAGATAGGGATGCTTGAGAAAATACAGCTTAGGGGAAATTAGGGTCTGTCACTGTATCTTCCAAATGATGGTATCTCCTACAGTAGAGGGTCCCTGGTCACTATAAAAGAATGATGGCTATATGAGATTCTGGCCCAGAGGGAAGATTGCCAACTACTGCACTCCAAACACCACTTAAAGCAGCAATCTGATTTTCCTTAATGGTGTCCCATCCCAGGACTGACTCAGAACTTCTTGCAACAGGCTACAGTTCAACCAGAGAATGCAGCTTGAAGTGACCTTTGTAATGCTGACAATTCATTAGAGCCCTCTTGCTGTCCTGCTGCCAGTCTTTTGGCTTATGCAAGACATGCAAAGTTGTGAATGAAAAATTAATCTCTCATCAAAAGCACGTGGCAGATGGTTTTGAGTACTGTCTACATGGTGAGAGCAATGATCTCTAATTGTGCCATTCACAGATTCAGCACATTAATAATGAATGGTACATTGGAATGTTTTTTTTTCTCCTTCCAGCACTTAATTAGGATGAATCTCATTATGAAGTGTTCAGGGAACAGGGAGGGGAAGGGGGAATGGTGGTAATTAGCAGAACCTCTTCTGATTGATCTTGCACATCGTTTGCACTTGTACAATGATTGCAGTGATGGCTTGTTGTCCGTTCTAAAACATTAGCAAGGAATCTGCTGCACAACATCTCTGACATCTTCTTCTCAGAATGTGTGGCTTTGTTTCTAAGATCCCAATCATGGGCTTTGCTACAGGACCTGTTCTAAAAGGTGGCTAGTTAGTCCAGTGTTGAAGCAGTAACAGAGCATAACTGTTATAATAGCACATAAATCAATAAAAGTTTACGAATTGGTGAGGACTGGAGGAGTACATAAGCATTTCATTGTACTTGTCAGATGACAGATAAACTGAACATCTCATATATTTAAAATTAAACAAAGGCAAAGCAATCTCATTTAGAGAGCTACTACCCAAGTATTGCCTTCATTATATTTGTCTATAAAAGTGCCGAAGAGTTATCATGTAGCCATCACCAAAGAGCATGATCACTGCATGCCACTGCCTGATGTAAATGGAGGTATCTAATTCCCAGGCCTGGAAAATCAATTTGTAATTAATTCAAAAGAATGTCTAAAGAAAAGTGTGGATCATCTGGAAAGAGACTGTCAATTAAAAAGTTTTGCAGATTTCAGAAATCTTTCTTTTTTCTCTCTGCTCTTTTTCAGTTAATTTCTTTCTGTCTTTTCCTATCTTGTTATTGAGCTTTTCCTCACTCGCTGTGCTGCAATATTAATTTGTAGGCCACTTGCTTCAGTTTGCACTGCCATGTTAACAAGGGTGAACCAAAGCCTCTCTATTCCTTCCATGTGACGAAGCTCCTGAGAACTAATTATCGTTACAAGATGATGTTTAATTTAGGTCTTTTCAGATGTTCTGTCAGGAATGGTTAAGAGACACAGCTCTTTAGCATACCCCTTAAATATTAACCCCTCTTCCTGCCTTGCAGTCTGCCCCTTGCATGCTTCAGAAAAGCCTACAGTGCCATGCCATCAATGCCTATACCGTCGGGTTTCTCCTAGACCCGCTGTAGGCGGGCTTCCAGGCATCCATCTCCCAGTGCTGAGCCAGGAATAGCGAGAGTACCAGGCTTAAATAAGGAGGGGCAGGACTGGGGGCAGGTGCATAAAATCAGGTAAAATACGAAAGAACCTGAGCACCCTTGAGGAGGGATTCTGAATGTGACAGTATTACTTAGTGTAATTCAGTGACCAAGGCTACTGGTTACATCGGTCAAAGAGTCAGAGAGCTGGTTGATTGGAGACTTTCACACTGGCACCACTGTTGAAAGTCCCTGATATAATTTTCTTGTTGAATGAGTGAAACCTAAGAGAAGAAATCAAATGGCAGCCTATTTAAAAAGTCTGGAATTATGATTAAAACAAATTTATTGGCAAACTGCCTATTTCACGGTAGATTTGTTTTTAAAATGCCTATGCACTATTTTGTATTTTCACAACACAAGAAATATTAAGAAGGATCTGGAACGTTTTATGAAAGTACTGTATGTGACCTTTTAAATTCTAGTGGAATCTCAATGAAAAGAAGGTTTAATTTTTAATACTTATGTATTATCATCCATGTTTGAGTTTATCACAGGAGACAGCTTTGGGCTGCTGTCTAATTAGATTGTTTGTTTTTAAAGAGGTTGTATTGAAGCAGGAACCAGCAGTCACAACTCACCTCCTTTTAAAAAACATGGTGGCTGTTTCTCCTGTAGTGTGTCACCTAATATCATATGGCTCGGGTGACTATCCTCCTTCTTTGATTGTGGTTTTTAGGTGGTGGGCGAATGGCGTTTCAGTCTGATCCACTGTGATATCTTCGTCACGCTGGACGTCATGATGTGCACGGCCAGTATCCTCAACCTGTGTGCAATCAGCATTGACAGGTAAGTGTGTGTGTGGGGGGTGGAGGGTTCAGAGGTGAGGCTTCTCAGGTCTCCTGTCATTCAGTTTGCAATGAATTCAAGATGGTACTGTTATGAAATGTCCTTGAGAATCTAGTTACAATGGGGAACATCTGGCTTGTGTTCAGCTTCAAAGCAAGGGGATGTTTGCTGAGATGTAGTGGTCCTCCAGTGATCAAAGCAATCATAAAGTTTACCTTAGTTATTCAAGTTCTGGGTAAATGATTAAATGTCAATCAACAGTCCAGGTAGACGGAATAAAACTGGCAGGTACAGAAGAAGGGGGGGAGGGTGTAAAGAAGGAAAAGGAAGACAATAGGCAGGAGAAGGGGAGGGCATGAGCTACTTGCCCAGATCACCTGGAAAGATCAGTTTGGACCTAATTGGACCTATCCCAGAACTGTAGGTGCAAAGGCAGGGCTGAAAGTGTGTTAGTGTTTTTCCCTCTGAACTGGGCACTGATCCCTTGCAGGACCAGAGAGATCATTGCAGATGTATAATTTGTCTGATACCCGAGGAGCAGGGCTGGAATTAGCCAGGCAGATCTCTGTTGTTAACTTCCCCGGGTGCCTTCAGTCTCACAGTGCTGTTAGTGAGGGATGTGCCACTCCTTCGCTTGGCACCAAAGGAAGTCACTGTGTTTGTATGTTCTAATGTGGGGGTAGGCTGAAGAATCCTGTCTGTATTTCCTCATGCTCTCCATAAATGTGGGTACAGTGTCAATTCAATGAGCCAAGATGTACAGATTCACTAAGTGAATTGGGTGGGTATGTACAGTAATATGAAAATGCCAGTTCTGAAATTTTAAAAATCTTTTATTTGTTTAATGCAAATTGTTTTTTATTAAAACAACATTCCCATAAAATCTAGTCAGCAAGTCTTTGGAAGGTGAGGGAAAACTGGAGCATCCATTAATAACCTACATGCAAACTGCACACTGGCAGAAACCTGCTGTCAGAATCAAACCCAGGTCTCTGCAATACTTCATATATGCAATACTCTGCAGTACTTTTTTCAACTCAATCCTTAGGCATTTAACAAAAGAAATTATTCCCACTACTGAACCAATCATACCTTTTTCCAGATTTGAAGCAGGTGCTGATTTAATTAGACCTGAGCTTTTGCCTCTTGAGAACAGTAGCTGCAGCTGAAGTTATTTTCAAATGTCACATTTACAGAATTCTGTTTAATTCAGTTGAACATTTTGAACTTTGGTATATCAAAAACTAGGCACAATGTTGCAATGGTTTTGTAAACTTGTACACATGAGACCGTGGAAAAGGACAATAAAATACACACCAGATGGTGCTGCACTAGTTCAGTTTGGTCAAAACGTGTGTCTACAGTGAGTTACGTGCTTAGGAAGATATAGTAGACAGAACCGTAAAACTGTTTATTGTTCAAGTGGAAAATATTTTGTTGCCGGCATTCTGTTTTCCTCCCACAATCACAGGACATACTGGTAGGTTAACTGTCTTCTGGGAAAACTGCCGCTAGTCTGTATGTGCTTGTGTCTGAGTGTGCCCTGCGACAGACTAGCATCCCATCCAGGGTGTATACTGCCTTGCACCTGTTCCTTGCCAGGATAGGCTCCAGCTCCCCTGTGACCCTGTATTGGATCAAGCAGTTAGAAAATGAAGGAAAGGATGTGGAACAAATAACATGGCTCCATTGGCCTCACTTTTCACCACACCAGCTATGCTTTCAGGTACACAGCGGTTGCCATGCCAATGCTGTACAACACCAGATACAGCTCCAAGCGCAGGGTGACGGTGATGATCGCAGTGGTCTGGGTTCTGTCCTTCGCTATCTCTTGCCCCCTGCTGTTTGGGCTCAATAACACAGGCAAGTCATCAACAACTATTTAATTGTTAATATTTATGTGTCCTAATCCTACTCATTTTTCAAATCCTACCTTTGGAGCAGACATACTATAGAGTGCCAAGATGCCTGTCAAAGGGAGCTGTATTCATGTGAATAAATCTAAGTAAAAGTAATAATAGGAAAGTGAAATCTAAATAAGTATTAGATGTGAACAGATTAAGTAGGCTTCTACCAAAATAGGAACCGATCATACTGTGTATATATTTTATGTTGTGTGCGTTCTCTGTATAAAATAACTTAAAAACATATCGGCAAACACAATGCCATGAATGCCAAAGAAAACAAATCAGCAACCCTTAAGTGTATTTATTTAAGTTTTCTCCATTGCAACCCTACTTTTTAAACATGAGGACCTTCGGGTACACTGGAGGGCTGCATGCAGGTAGAATAGAGTTGTAGGCAAGGGAGTGTAGCAGGCCGGGATTCCAAACTGAGATAGCAGGTGGGCAGCCAGGCAGGCAGCATTCGCAGAGCTGCAGTCATGCCTCCAAGGTGAAGACAGGCAGAAGCACAAAGTAGTATGGTCAGTAAGGAAACAAGTCAAAGCACTGGAGAAGATTAGACAAGGTCGGGCAATTCGCGTCTCATAAAGGGAACGTAACAAAGCAAGGGGGAGATCCAGGTTGAGAGCAAAAGCCAGAGCAAAGTTAGAGAATAACTGAAATTCTATATCAGAGCCCAGAGCAGAGCCAGAGCAGCGCTTGAGTGTCCCTGAATCACCTGGGGCGGCGAGATGTTAATTGCCTCCAGGTGGTCCAGGTTTCCCATCCATTGGTGACTATGGCGTTCATTAATGAATCCAATCAAGCCATACTTGTAGTCTCCTTGATGATCCCCATGCATGCCTGACCTTTTCTCCAAGAGAGTTAGTTTATTATTCCAGAAATTCAAGTCTCTGATCCAAATCTATTATTGCAAAGCTGTTCATTTAAAAATGAATGTCCACTTTGTGGTTAAACCACTGGTCAAATGGGTAAGTTATTTTCTTGCAATTCATCATTGAATGAACAGTTCCATGATTTTTTTTATGTAGCAGCAGACTTGTCTTGCATAGTGCATGTCATTTCACAGCATGTATAGGACAGCTGAATCATATAATGCTCTCTTAATTACACAAGATCTATATCCTCCAATGTAGCAGTAGCATGTTAAATGAATGATCTCTAAACTTGACCTTTGTGGTATATTTCCTGTGATCAGAACTCTTGAGTTACTGTTCTCCCTCCAACAGCATGGCCCTCTTATAAATCATTAGAATTTCAATAGCCCTGTGGCCTCCTGCATGACCATTTCCTGACAAGCGTATCTCACTGATGTGAAATGAGTCACCACAGAGCCCCTTGCTTTGCTCAGCAACACGGGATTAAATTGGGCCAAGAGCCTCCTTCAACCACAGTGAGTCAAAACAACAATCCATGGGTTTATTTATGCCATACGTTCCCAGTTTTTCAGTTGTTTGTCATGCACTGACATTCAGATGCTAATTAGTCGTCCCAAAATGGTTTTGAGAAGAATAAGGAGCTGGGACTTTTTAAAGCCCCCGAGGACCCAATAAGCTTGATAGGTTTTTTATACAGTATCACACCAAAAACCAAAAAATGTTCACAAAATCATACTTATCTCATGTTGTTAAACATTACAACAGTTACAACTGATACATCCAGAAGACTGTCTTCCAGTAACACTAAAACATTACTCCAACTGTTCATCTACCATAATCAAAACACAAATTCCAAGTTGCTATGGCAAATATTGTAACCAAAAAAACATTTTGGTTAGCTCTTGTAAAAACAAAAACTAAACACTGTCAGCCTTGTGCTGTCTGCAGGTGTCACTGCTTTTAGTGTGGGATCACATTTGTTTAGTAATCTTCAGAGAACAATTAATTCAGACATGTAGGACACTCACTACAATCATGAAATTATAGTGTTGTATTGAATGCACAGTTCAAATGTTCACTAACATCATGTAGTGAGAGTATGTTGCTTCAGTGTTTTTATTAAAACATATCCAGCACGATCTCAATATTAACTATAAGTAAGCTTGTGAGGTCATAGTGCGAGAGATGGGGATCACAGAAAAAAACAGTGCTAACAAGCAACCTACTTTTGAAGTCTGAATCCAATTGCCCTGAAGAGTAAGCTTGTACGAAATGGCATGATTAGGAATGGATAAGGGTTATCATCAACATCTACTGCATTTCCTTTTTCTTACGGTACCTACAATGGAAAAGAAAACACAGTATTTTAAAACGGTCAGTACTGACAAATATACATATGTATAATGGAGCACAAGCCTTACACTCCACACGCATCCTCAGTTCTCTTTTCTGTTTCAGCTACAAGAGATGTAACCAAGTGTAGCATTGCTAACCCGGCCTTCGTGGTCTACTCCTCCATCGTGTCCTTCTACGTTCCCTTCATCATCACGCTGCTGGTGTACGTGCAGATCTACGTGGTGCTGCGGCGGCGCCGGAAGAGGGTGGCCACCCGCAGGAACAGCTCCGGAGCAGAGACGGAGCAGCAGCCACCCAGAAAGGTACTCCTGGTGTCACCCATCCCCTCAGCCATCCAGCCATCCATTTTCTAACTGTCTAATCCAGTACAGCCTCACAGGGGAGCCAGAGCCTATCCCAGCAAGCAATGGGAGCAAGACAGGATACACCCTGGACAGGATGCCTAGTCCATCACAAGGCACACAGAGACACAAACATGCACACATCACACCAGGGCGTTTTCCCAGAAGCCCATTAACCTACCAGCATATCCTTGGACTGGGAGGAACAGAAGAACTCGCAGGAAACCCACACAAACACACAGGGGACATACTGTACAAACTCTACAGAGACAGCACCCCAGGTCCGGAATTGAACACGGGGCCCCATGGCTACGAGGAAGCACTACAAGCCGCTACCCCACTGTGCCCCCCTACTGCTGTTCCTTCGTCGTTATATTCGTTATAGTCCTCAAGAGATGTTGATGAGAATATGGTGGAGTAGAGGCGGTGTGGGCTTGCAGAAAACAAGTGAGCTGAGGGTCACTATTTTGCATTTGTTCACATTGGACACGTTTTTCGTAAGTGTGTATGGAATATGAACAGGGATGTGTTGTACAGAGTGGCCCACTTCCTGCTGTCATTAGCAATGTCCTGATGAAATCAAGTGTGGTGATGCCTCTCACATGCACAGATGTGGTTTTATGTTTGTGGTGCCTCCTGATTAGGGGAACTAAACAGTTGTCAAGAGGCTGCCTTTGCCTCTGGCTGCTTCTTCAAAAGCTTGTAACCCCTTAAACACCGTGTACATACAGCAGTATGAATGCATAGTTCACTTAAAGGTTACATTTCGGACTGGAACATTTATTTTAATGTTAGGACAAGAGGTTTTGTAAGAATAAAGTTTGGGATAGGGGGCAGTTTTAGGGTGATGGTTAGACCTGGAACATGCTTTTGATTTTTAAATAAAACATGTTTTTGCAATAAACACATATACTGCCTTGTTGGATTCACGCTGCAAGCTGAACTGCACAGTTCAAAGCAGCATATCTCTGAAGAGTAGGATGTGTGGTCTGTCTGGGGCATGCCTGCTGAACATAAGCACTTCTAGACCTTCAAAGAAACACGTCATTTCTAATTGACCCTCGTTTTGCTACTATTAGTATGGGAATCATGCTGGTTTGTCACAGGTTGTTTTGATCGCCGGTGATTGAAATTCTGAAGGCTGTTTGGAGAATTGAAGCTGCTTCAGTGTTCATCACCCCTGAGGGGGAACTGAAATGGGATTGTCATATCATCAGCACTGGCTGCACTTTTTAAAAAAAAAACTTAAACCCCTTCCCCCCAAAACCCTTTTTTGCATACAGAAGGCATAACCTGCTGGCACATTAAATAAATCACTGAAGCCTAAATAGCCTTGCTGTCATTATCCGTTAAAGGGTCTGTTTAGGGACTGACTTACCAGATACAAGATAAAAATCTAAAAAAGCCTCTACTGTAGTATCAGACTGATGTACGAACCAAAACTAGTAAAACGTCACAGTTAATGGCCACAGCTCAATGTGTTTTTTTCCTGCCTCCAGAACAAATGCACCCATCCAGAAGATGTAAAGCTGTGCACTCTGATCGTGAAGTCTAACAGCAGCTTTGCACCTAATAGGAAAAAAGTGGTGAGTCATCGGGGTCATAGTTCATCATCTCATTAAAATGCCAACTGAAGAACTGCCAGGGTTTTATTAAATACCCCTCAGGCTGTTGTTCATAGCCAAACTAAAAATAAACAGGAATAGTCCGATTTTTCCTTCACCGTTTCTGTACTTTGTGGTGTACGTCCTAAGCCATTTCAGGAATTTTTCTAGATGGACGATGTCATATTATTAAATGCCGTTGTCTTTGTGTGTCAAAGTGCTTATGTGTTTTGAGCATTAAGAACTGTATTTTCTAGTTGCAAACATCTAACAGAACGCAGGTTAGCCTTAAAAGTAAGCAAGAAAATGTGTCATTTGGTGTTAACAAAAACACTTTCCATATGACAGTAGCAGTAGAAATATTTTTCAGAAATGAACAAAGTACTGTAAATACACCGGTTACTGTATAGTCTAGTAGGAATGACTGATCGGCCCAAATTGTCTCCAGGGAGCTTCTTAACAGGCCTGAATATTAAAATGGTCTTTGAGCTGAAGCAAATTAACATGTAAATTAAATGTCACACCTCTGCTAAGTTGTTGCTTAATTACCAAGTATAGCAAGTAAACTACACTGAACACCTGTTCAGAGTGAGTGAGAAGCTCATTGGTGCCACTGATTGGTTCTTGGAATCAGTGTGTAAAAAGGGTAAGACAGTATTGACAAAAAAGTATTGTGTGGGAAATTGCAAAGAGATGATTATTATAAATGTTATTCCTGTGACTGTCAATGTCAGTTTGCCATGGTACTGAGAGATGTATAAACTGTGACAAAGCATGACCTGTCTTGTGGTTCATCAAGGCACATTTTTATTGTGAAACTTGTGATGTGTACCTGCTGTCTTGTAAAAGTTTCTGAAGCTGTATCTTGAATTATATTACATCCATCTGTATCCTACTGCTTAGGACTTATACTCCAATCTGTTGAGCAGATGGAGGCTCTGGGATCTTTTGAAACTAATAATGACTTCATTTACATTTACGTTCTCCTCCGCATCTTCTACATGCTCTCCTATTTAGTTTTGTACTGTATCTTTTTTGCTTTTATCTGCAAGTTTATCATGTACCTCCCTATCAGACTTTGGTGAAGGAGGCTGTGGTCCACCCTGCGGATTCAGACCGGGTTCGATTTCTGGCCCAGCCTGAGAGGACTCGGCCAAAGGGGCCGCCGTTGGGGTCCCAGTCAGTCTCGCCAGCCCCCTCCCGGCCCCTGCCCAGTGCTGGAGCCCTGCCAGCCCTTGCTCCCAGCCTGCATGGCCACCCCAAACTGAAGAGGGCATTTGAGGCGCCTCGGGTCGCTGGGGAGGACAAGGGCACCTTCAAATCCACAGCCAAGGGACGTCTGTCACAGCAGAAGGAGAAGAAGGCCACTCAAATGCTGGCCATCGTATTAGGTAGGTGAGCTCTCCTCAGCTCTTAGACCACAAAGTGTCGCACGTGCTCATCCAAGGAACTCAGTCAAGTTCCTGTAGCACTGTAAAACAGTAGGGTGTCAAAGAAAGTTCCCTCTTTTCTGGCTCAAGTGTTGCTCTATAGTGCTGCTGGCAGAGAATGGCAGCTGTGTGCCTCCCAAATAGCATCTGGAGATCAGTATTACTGTGAGATGAAAAGCTCCATTAAAATACAAGAAATTCATTAACTGCTCACCAGCCCCCTATACTAGCTATTAGCTGATACTGTATTTCTGAGCAGGCAACCAATCATCAGCCATGATCTGCAATAAAAGATAGATCAGAGATTTTATCTCAGTTCAATTTGTCAATTGGTACTTTCTCATTACGAATTGGTGGCATCAAAGTAAGTTATAATAATAATTGCTTACACTTATATAGCGCTTTTCTGGACACTCCACTCAAAGCGTCACAGGTAATGGGGACTCCCCTCCACCACCACCAATGTGCAGCCCCACCTGGATGATGCAATGACAGCCATAGTGCACCAGAACACTCCCCACACATCAGCTATCAGTGGGGAGGAGGGTAGAGTAATGAACCCAGTTCGCAGATGGGGATTATTAGGAGGCCGTGATTGGTAAGGGCCAATGGGAAATTTGGCCAGGATGCCGAGGTTAAACCACTACTCTTTTTGAGATTTTAAAGACCACAGAGAGTCAGGCCCTCATTTTTATGTCTCATCCAAAGGTTGGCACCATTTTTACAATAGTGTCCCCAGGCATTAGGACTCACACAGACCGCAGGGTGAGCACCCCCTGCTGCTCTCACTAACACCTCTTCCAGAAGCAACCTTAGTTTTTCCCAGGAGGTCTCCCATCTAGGTACTGAGCAGCACCACACCTGCGGAGCTAAAGTTGCAAGAAATTATTACTTTGTATCTAAGGAAGGTGAGGAAAACAGACTACCTCACACTCCCTGTTTCCCTCCAGGAGTCTTCATCATCTGCTGGCTGCCCTTTTTCATCACTCACATCCTGCGGGTGCACTGCCTGCGCTGCTACATCTCCCCCGAGCTCTACAGCATCGTCACCTGGCTGGGCTACGTCAACAGCGCCGTCAATCCCATCATCTACACCACCTTCAACGTGGAGTTCCGCAAGGCCTTCATGAAGATCCTGCACTGCTGATGACCGGAGAGGTGATCCCCCCCACGCCTATGCTTGCCTGCTGCCAAGGCTGCCTGCTGAATGACCCCAGGGGCAGCACGTGGAGCTGGAGACGGGCTGTTTGCCCTGTTGCGTACAGATGTTCTCTCTTTCCACTGGCCCAGTGGTTATTGGTCAGACTAGCTCCAGAGAGGGCCTGGAGTTTTCAAAAGCTTGGAAGTCCAATTCACACAGAAATTGCTCTGTCTGCTGCACAGTTTCTACAGTTATGCTCTTGGTGGATTAAGCTGTGATAAAGTTATGTGGCCTGGTGTTGCTTGAGTACAAGTCACATAATGCTGCTTCAAAGACCTTCGCATCCTGTACCAGGCATTTTAGTGTTCCCTGGAGGAAACCTGAAAGGAAATCAACTTTTAATATTGCAGAAGAAAAAACACTGGGAGAATGGACTTCATTTAATAATGCCTCAGAATGAGATGTGTGTGGTTTACTTACCTAGGGTCCACAGACAGTTCAGGACTGATAAAGGATGCCGAATAAATTCGCTTTTTTGTATCTTGCGGTCATGATCATTTTGGATTTTTTTCATTTTGGGAGGATGTTTTAATTAAAAGTCAACAGCAATGAAATTGAAAGGATTTTTTTCAGTTCTTACTCACAAATTGATTCTCATATGCTCCCAAAGCGCAATTTAATTTTTTAAAATTTGTATTGGTAAGGTGTTTTATTCACTTGCTAGTCATGATTGTATTCATCTTAAGATAGAATATTTCTTTCACTGTTAGGGCTCAGCTTTTGATGTACTATGTACAGAACACATTGCAAAAGACCTTTTATAATATTGAGCTGAAAGGGATGTGCAGGACATATAAGCCAATAATTTCACAATAATTGGGGGTCAGATTTATTTTCCTCTTCCTACTGTATGCCAAATTAAAATGGATGATCTGGAAAAGCTATACTCGTCCTTTTACAATCTGTTTGATCACATTCGTGTATTTGGCATGGACTTAATTTATATGATTGCGCTTACAAATGCCTGAACAATGAGATTTGATTCAAAAAGTACAGACAAACCCAGTAAAATTTATATATTTAATCACTGAATATGTTAACTAATATACCACATTGTATACTCTCTGTGTACAGTACCTTACTGCTGCAGCTTTTTCAAGGCGAATTAAGCACTTAGTTAAGAAGATCTACTTTTTTTAAAACCATATTGATTATCTTCACAAATCTTATTTCTATTTTGAACTATTAAAGACTAGTTCTGATTACTGTTTTTGTAATCTAACAGATAACAAAAAAGGTAAAAGTAAGTATTTTAGGAGCAACATCACCCTACAACTCACACCTGGCAACCCACTGAAGCTCAGTAAGTGTGAGCCTGGCCAGTACCTGGATGGGAGACCTCCTGGGAAAAACTAAGGTTGCTGCTGGAAGAGCTGTTAGCAGGATCAGTAGGGGGCACTCACCCTGTGGTCTGTGTGGGTTTTAATGCCCCATTATAGCGATGGGGACACTATACTGTAAAAAGGCACTGTCCTTTATGTGAGATGTTAAACCAAGGTTTTGACCCTCTGTGGTCATTAAAAATCCCAGGGCATTTTTTGAAAAGAGTAGATTTGTCCTGGCCAAATTTCCTCCTGGCTTTTATCAGTCATGGCTTCCTAATAATCCCCTACTATGAACTGGTTTCATCACTCTGTCCTCCTCTCCACTGAGAGCTGGTGTGTGGTGAGTGTAATGGTGCACTCTGACTGCCATCATCCAGGTGAGGTTATACACTGGCGGTGGTGGAAGAGAGTCCCCATTACATATAAAAATGCTTTGAGTGGAGTGTCCAGAAAAGTGTTATACTGTATACTGTAAGTGTAAGGAATTTTTTGATGCACAATCAAATTGAATCATACTTAACCCATTCATGTGGGCCAAAATACTACACAACATAAGTCATATCATTTCTGTGTGACTGTTGTGGCTTACTGACTTACATACATAGTAGGACATGGAATTCAAGTTCATTAAGATGTCAGTGCCCTCTGTCATTACTCATGCGCATCAAATATCATTACTCCTGGGTGCAATTTTCAGGATACCATTGTTTGAATGTGCATGTTTACAGAAAATGTAGTTTTATTTTTTTCTTCCTTGGGGTATCTCATTCCCATTCTGGAGAATAAGACTAGCCAGGATCTGACACCCTGGACTGTGGGCAGATGCAATGCAAGATGTCAGCGAGTCACTCAAAGGGCATGTATTATTGATTAACCTGGTGTCAGGTGAGCTGGAGGTTGTGACACTGGATGCAGGCCAGAGTTCATGTTACACCTCAAATACAAAGAGTTCAGACCCACCAATGCCTCTCAATTTACACCTTCCTATAAACTCCTTTTACTGTTTTCTGTACAGTAAGTCTCTATCACCAGCTTTTGATTAAACCTCAATCAAGGCTCTACCTGACAGTACAGTGAGCACAGTACAAAAAGTGCATGTACACAGGTTGCATGTGGGCACGTGGGTTTAAAATACTTAAATACTTTAATACTTAAAACACTAGAGATATTCATCCAGTGGAAGTCAGCACTGAACGAGCAAAACAAACTTAATGTACATGTCTGAGACCTCTAATGAGATGACTAATACTGGATCTGCAAGTCATCAAAACTTATCTAATCTATCTTATCGAACTTATCTACCCTCACATACAGTATGGCATGCTGCTCATCTGGTAAGTAATTGAAGTTATTAGACCCTGCAGCTTTTACCTACAGGGCATTTATTTTTATATCCTCTTAACTATAACAGCGCAGGTGCTTCCTATAGTCTACATCGCTTTCTTTGGGACTGGCACCCAGGACATTGTCAGGATGCATGTATGAAATTCTAACTCTGATGCAACTCTGAGGATTATACATTCCTCAATAACCTAGATGACTGGCTACTTCTTAGCCCATCCCAGTCAGGACTCTGGTCTTCCCTCCAGCTATTTTTTCTTTGAGACATTTCTCAAGAAAATTGTAGAACTGTCAGATGCAGCAGGGAAGTTCTAGGTCTTGTTTCAAGACCTCTGCTCCTCACTACCTGTGTGTTGTGAGTTCCTGTACTTCTGCGTCTTTGGGATGGGACTTCAAACTGAGCTCTAATTATTACTGGTGCAGCAGGTGTTGCTGATGTCATAGCGTAACCCACCTAATCTGTTCAAGCTGCTTTAAGTACACTTCAACTATCAACCAACCAATACCAACCACCACAAATGATGAAGTGCTCCAATGTACCACAAATCACAAATCTGAACAAACTGGACATACATGTCATTTTTGTGTTGACATCTTACATTTACATTTGAATTGAACTCCAAAATAAAAAAGGGAATGAGTCAGCAGCCTGCTGAGCCTTTGCTACTGCTAGACGATGACAAAACAGGACAATTAACAGCATCCATAATTGATAGCGGATATGAAAATACTCCAGCATCAGTTACTCCACATTCAGAGGCAGCACCTACAGTATAGTATGTTGGGTTATGGTGGTAGTGTAAATCTAGCTGGTAAGGCCTGAAAAAAAGTACAATTTGTGTCTCATTATGACTATTACAAAGACATTCAATCTGTAGATGGAACTGGGGTAATTAAAAAACACTAAAGTGGTAGTTACTCCCTTCCCCTTAAACTCGACTTGGCCTTTTCTTGAAAAGAAACACAGTGCTGACATCACACATTTGTAGAAGCTATTGTTACAAAGAAATTGAAACTGGAGAGTGCTCTCTTAGCCCAGTATTCAGAGCGAGAGAAAAAGAGTGTGATGATATTTTCTGAGGAGATGAAGATGGAAACCTGCAGCCCATGGTCAACTCGAGAAAATGAGTTTTATACAGCATGAGAGAACACGTAAGTGAAGAACATTCTATTTTACTCTCTGGTAAATGATTTCACAGATGCTTTTATTCCGCAGAACATTTTTTTTCTCCCTGTTCCCTGAAAGATATTGTGAAAGTTGTGATTCTGCAATGATAAGGTAAGGAAGAGGTTATTTTATATGTATACTACTACTAAAACTACTCTGAGAGCCTAGAAAAAAAGCAAAATGCTACCCTGAACAGAAAAGCTCTAAAATGATCCTGTATCTTCAAACAGTGTCAGTTTTGGTTAAATTAGGTCTGTAGGTATTCCAATCATCTCACCCTCATCAACTTTTTTTTAAAACTGGAAATTAATGAAAAAAAATTATGATGATGAAGTTATTTTTTACTCCTTTGAAGACAGTGCTGCACTGTGATCAGGATATCATACCGTATATATGCATATTATATTTCTTCCAAACAAGTAATGATGTGTTTAGTGACAGCTCATAGTAATAATAGAGCTTGCGTCATAAACATAAAAGCATTTGGATTAAATCAGTTTGACCTGCTTTGTTAGAGTTATGCTTAGTTTTTTAAATGCCTTTAGGAAAATGTGGTAAAATTAGCTTAACTTTTAACTTTCAAAAACCAAAAAGTAGGTATGTTTTACCCCAAAACAACAATGACTGGTTTACATCCTCATCTGTTTTTCACCCCAAAGGATTTTGAATCAGATTACAAAAGCAAGATGCTCACTTCACTCACCGATAAAGAGCAACATCCACCTGTGCAGAAACTGTTGTGCACCAGCAGCCCCATGACACAGCAGAGGAAATGATTTCACCAGTTTAATTAAGGATGAAATTATTTAATTAAGGGGAAATCAGAGCCAACAGAGTAATTTAGCCATCACACCTACTGTATATTAATCTGTCTGTTTCTTTGCAGACTTCCACACCATCAGTTAAGATTTAACAGTCATCAGCACCTGATGTGTGAAAAGAAAAAAAAAGTAGAGAGAAAATGCACAAAAGCTAAGACAATCTGTAAGTAAATAACTGTAATAACTTTAATATAACTATAATCAGCAAAACGTGCTGTTCAGAAATTGGTCAATGGGATGCAGAAACTACACTGCTGACCCTGATATAGTGGGTGTGAGTGGGAAATAAATTATAGTGGGAAAGTGTAAGAAATTATCCATATTGTCTACCTGTGGCTTCACCCCTGTGATGCTATACTTTCTAGTCTTTGACCTACTACTGTACATTATAAACAGCTGCATTAAACTTCTACTTACTGACTTTAACAGAAAATACAGCAAGGATATAAACATGCTTATACAGTAGATGTACTTTAATTCTAACATTAAATATCACCACTACTACGGTATGTCTACTAGTAAAACAATTAATATTAGAAACAAGTGTTGAATATTACAGCAGCTCCAGTACAAGATGGCTTCAGTGTTATGTGTTTGGATAGTAATTGAGCTCTTAACTGCCTAATTGATCTAATTCTTGACTTTACTGGGTCAGTGTAACACGTTTTCTCAGACCTGTAGAAGCTGGTGAAGAGTCCTGAATTGTGGAGCTCCACGACTGGAGTTGTGCATTTCTGATAACAAGCAGAGTATCAAAAATTCTATTATTATAAATAACAGTTCTAGTTAAAAATGTGATGTGAGAATGGCCTTGTATACCATTAGCTAATTCCTTTTTTTAGTTTTTAGTTTTGAGTTTATTTTGTTTTTTGTCTGTCCTAACACTGTTCCAAAACCTGTAAATCTTATCATTCCCTCCTCCCTGACCCTGACCTCAGATGATTACAGACCACCGATATTGAGGGATCCCATTTTTCTGCAGGTGTGGATTTCACTGTCTGCTTATCTAATGCTGCAATGAGTAGCTATTAAAGTCCAGCCAGATCTACAGGATACAGGGAAGTAAACAGCCTATCATCCCTGAGTGTGCCAGTACTCTTCTCTATTAGGATTCAGAATGGCCCACCTGTAAGAATCCTTGCGGAATGATGGTTGAGGTGAGTCTCCTGAATGACTTGTGTTTATGGATAGCAGACGTTGCAGTAAAACCAGGGTC